AAATTAACGCGAATTTCAAAAATTCGCGTTAATTTTCTATAATAAGGTATGTCTTACTTGCCAGACCGAAGTTTTGTGAAAAAGATGTCAAAAATTAACCAAATATAAAATTCATAAAAAATTTTGCGCACGCGCAATGTTGCGTGACGAGCCATTTTCCCGGAATTCCACTTCCCGATATAAAATCGCTAATTGCAAATGAATATATTCGTGGTGTTGTCTCTTGAGTTGAACTTCCACGCAAATTGACATCTTTCATTATTAGTCAGGTTTGTTTTTGACTCCATGTATCTGTGTACTTTGATGAGCGCATTTTGAATTTCCTCTGGAATGTTGTGGATTTCCATCGCCTGTAATCGAACGCTTTCTGATCCGTTTCGCGAACTTGGCTGCTGGTTTGTTGGGTTGTGAGTTGTTGGCATCGGTGAAGTCTCGATGTTCTTTTTAACACTCCTCGAGGCAGCGATAATTATGCCGATGATCAGAAGCCCATTAACAAGCAACAATGCAAAACATGTCCGTGGTTTCCTCAATTTGAAACGGGAAGGAGTCTTCTGCTCGTCGATAGAGCCCATATATATATCCGATAATTCCCTCTGTCAACACGCCTTACAGCAGTAAAACCTTGTTATCTGAAATTACTGGTCATAGTCGAATCATAGTATGATTCATTCAGGGCCCACAATGTTCAATATGCAGCACACTCGTCAAGCTGATCGAAACATTTTCCCTTTTGTAGCAAAATTGCGTGACTGTTATCCGATATCCATTTTACAGCGGTTATCAATCACACGCGACCTTCAGCGCAAAAAGAGTCTAGACACAACCTAAGTTTTGGTGGACGTCAATCATCTCCGCCTCCTTGCCGACTGTATGAAAAATTTACCTGAAAGTGAAACCCTGCAGCGGTCCACTCGTAAAAATTATCATTTTACTTTCGGTATGTACGGCTAGCTCACTAACTACATCCTTGAAATCTCTATATCAAAACGTTTGTCGGGTTTTTCAACGGCCATTCGCATGCATGAATGACCTCGAGAGCAGGCAAATTACACGCAAACAAATTATTTCTGCACGTATTTTTCTTGGGGCTATGGACTGAACAATACTCAATTCTATAAAACTTATAACTTATTACCTTACAAAATTATAAGGTTTATGAGACATTCATGCATGCGAATGGCCGTTGAGAAACCCCACCTGCCCGTCTTCAGTTATAAATTTCAAGGAATATTTACTGCCAATGTATTTAGTGAGCTAGCCGTACATACCGAAAGTAAAATGATAATTTTTTCGAGTGGACCGCCGTAAGGTTTTACTCTCCGTTTTTACATTCGCTTCAGACCTTCCGTTCGAATATTGACCGTCGCCAGCATTCGCAAAAAATACGACTGTTTTGCAGTCTACACTTTTTCAGGTAAATTTTGCATACAGTCGACAAGGAGGCGGAGATGATTGACGTCCACCAAAACGTAGGTTTTGTCTTGACTCTTTTCGCGCTGGAGGTCGCGTGTGATTGATAACCGCTGTAAAGAAAGTCCACCTCGTTCCCGAGGAGGGGCCTGAGTCCTCAGCGGGGAGAGGTAATAGTTGAAAGAGTTGTCAGGAGAAGAAGAGGAGAAATAACTTAAGAAGCCTGATGGTGTAGCTGTGCACAGATCCGTAGCGTCATTTCTTATGGTTCCATTCTTTTGAGCAAGTAGCAACTAAGAATCTTCACCGACTGAGCTACACATGGATTTTTAAAGGCAGAATCAGGCGGGAAATGAATACGTGTAGAACCAGAAACCCCGGTTGGGGGCTACCTTTAAGGGGTAAAAAAAAGCGGGTTTGGTATCTGAGGGTGCTCAGCCTCAAAAGGTACACAGCGTACAGCGAGAGCCTTTGCGGCTCCTTTTAGGGTGTTGTGCCAAAAAAATATGACAGGAGATTAATTGCTGTTTTAGAATTGGCACCTCCACTTAAGGGGCGAAAACGTTTTCAAGCCACGCCCACAAAACAGGATCTTGGTACCACTTGCGGGTTCTTTTCACAATTTCTGACGAGCACCCCCGTCCTTTTTATACTGGAGTTCCCCCCCCCTCCCCCCTCGGGCCAGAAACCTCTGAAAGAACTAGACTACCGGCAATGGGTTATTGTTCTCGAAATCTTGTCGTACGCTAAGAAAAGAAGGAGACTTCTCACAGTCTGGACAGAACCCTTGCAGAGAGACTTGTGCCGGGCACTTGTGTTTATTCAGGGTCAATAGTTCGTATCTGCCTTCTTACCGAGAGATGCAGGCTAGCCAAATGGAAAGACAAAATCGATTAGTGCAGAATTGGTGACAATTTTCACTGTATGTTGCCATAATTCAGCTGACATGACATTGTTTGTAGGCGCATTGAGACTTTGACAAATACGCTTTGGTGAAAATATAATCTGATAGTAGCCACCTGTTAAGCGGCCAGTTAAAAAGTGCCAAAATTGTTGTCAATAAAATACTGTAAATAAAATCCTTATTAACCGACCACTCCTATTAAGCGGCCGCGGCCTCCCGAGGGTTTTCTATTGCCCTTAAACTAATAAAAACATTCAAACACCCGTGTAATGATGTCCTTACGTGGTTCCAAATCGCTCTTCAGCATGTTTGCATTTGAATAAATAAACTTTTCTAGTAAGCCTCGAGCTAATTATATAATTCTCAACGAACCCCTATTAAGCGGCCAACCCCTGTTAAGAGGCCACCTCCCATTTCCCCAAGGGTGGTCGCTTAAAAGGGGTTCGACTGTATATATAGACCTCATGACAAGACACCAAGAAAGTTGTAATCACCCTGTCTTCATTTTATTTATTCCCATAAAATACATTGTTTACAGAATGAGCAATTCAGTAAATTTTAAGGACGAGTTGCACGGACAAGCTCGTCCCTTAATTTGCATTCGTACTTAACACTTTCAATTGCATACAATTCCAAAATCTAAAACTAATAACGGTATAACGTCATTGAAAGAATTAAATACCTTGACTCAGGAAGAATATAAAAATATTTGCTTCGAAATTATTAACAGCTATTTAAAAATTTACATGAGTTGACTGCTTTGGGATAAATCTTTGCTGAGGAATATTTCTGAGATTTCTAAATTGCCTGCGCACAATTCTCTGAAGTTCATTTGTTCTACTCTACACGGCCATTCTATAAGGTGAAGTCGGTAATCCGGCGCACAAAACGTATGTCTTTTTAAAAGATAGACTTCCCTTACATTGTAACTGCAGTCGTTTACAAAACTTACACGACACAAATATACTATGTATTTACAAAACCTAATTCTATGAATGACACAGACGTAAACGAGTACAAAAGGTATTAAATATTTAAAAACAAAAGCAACAAAAGGAAAAGCGGTAAATAGAAAAAAAAGCAATCTTCCGTAAATTTTCCGAAATTCCCTTTTAGCGTAAGTTTAGAGTCCACGATTTCTCAGTGATTGGCAAAAAGTGCGTGCAACGTGTTTTCACCAATCAGAAATCTTTTCAGGCAATCGGCGACAAAACAGAATTGGGATGCCGCGCTTACCA